AGAAACATGCAGAGGAACAAATACCATTCTTAATTACATGACATGCTCTGTGGAAGGGATTTTTCAAGTTTCAATGTTACTAAAATTACAGAATCTCAAATTCTACCGTTTTCATTTCTACTGTCTATTTGTTACTTAAAAATGTATGTATATGACAATTTGATTGATTTTAGTTGTTTTAATTATACTACAGTCTCTGAAGTAAAATAGAAAAGTACAGCTGTTACCTAGGGAAAACTCTTTCAACACCAGAGCATTTACTCAAATGTTCATTTCAGACAAGTATTTTTGGAGAAAGCATATTTATATCATTATGTTTATTAAAGAACCTAATGGCAAGACAGATTATATTGATCCTCTGTATCTATGAGTTATTACCATTATTGTCATGATTTAACTGTTATTTTTAATAGTTAAATAAGTTTAAGCAATACTTTCTCCTTTTTCAAATACGATATTTACTTTTTTGTTACTATTGTGGTAGGAATAGTAACAACTTTTCTAACAAATGTAGACTTTTTTTTTGTTAAAACACTATTGTTTCAGAAAACACAATTTTCTCAGCAGAACACTTGATGCACAGAATGTTTTCATGCATTGTCTCTATTGTCTTTTCCCCTTGCATGGCATGTCAGTGTCAGTCAGTGACTTTGTAGTAATGCAGGAGCAATTACTAGGTGATTAGCCAATTAGCTATGGCCTTGTGTCTGTACAATATAGGTGACAGTTAGGAATATAATGGAGGAATTGTAGTGTAATTGAACAAATCAAACTAGGTACATCTCTAAAAGAAAGGCAAAATAGGGATAATCATAAGTAAATTTGATATTTTATGTAAAAGCACCAAGCACAGCAACAACTATATTGTAAGTGCTCATAAAAGTAATCAGTTATAAGGTGGGAAGTAATGGTAGGAAGTGTAATAACAGTAGTTGCCCTGTTGTGAATAACAGCAGCAGAAGTTAATTTGAAGAGTGAAAAATATCCTTCTGAAGAAACATAATCCCCATGATCTAGTTTGTTTTATCTATCTTTGTGTACACCAACACTTTCTACGAGGGATTTGAGGTAACTGTGCCAGCTAAGCAGACCTTAGCATGAATTATGTTATGTTTTTTATTCATGTGTCAGCAGCAAAGATTGCATCAGATACTAGGATTGGGGCCTGCCTAAGGAAATGAGTGGAGGATTAAAAGGGCAAGTTCTAGGAAAAGTGGGTGAAATATTTTCCAGTAGTGTAATTCAAGAGTGTTAAACCAAATGTCACTTTTGTCATCATTTTGTTAATATCAGTCCCTTTGCAAGATTCTTGTGAGTTTATTAACTCAAAGCCTAGGTGCATTTTATAGTGCAATGTAATTCTGAACTAATCTGTTGAAATGTAGTGAATTGTTAAGTTGTGATTGAAAGTTAAATGTGTTATTTATGTTGAAGGGTTTTATAAATTGTAGTTAAATATAAGACACTAATGCTGTGATAATGTTGTCAAAGTTGATGAAGATAGTAATGGGAATGAGAATAAGTCAGTACCCACATTCAGTGTCTTGTAGATGAGAAAGATATTGATGTCTCTGGTCTTAATGAGCACATCATGAACCCAGTAGCCACCCATGGAAATGTAATCCTCTATTGTCAACAACTGCTAAAGCCTGGTGTGATTAATAAATCCATCCCCAAGAAGTGGTGATGTTGATTCAGGAGAGAGAATCAGTCATACATCTTTGTTGGCTGGCTTAAAGGGAGTTCAATGAATGAGAATAACTACAAAGATTATCATAAGTATTTGTGAAAAGTTAAGGGGAGACTGCTCGTTCCTTTTGCACCTATCAAGGAGACATTTTAAAAATATATTTATACCAGTTTGGCTACTGAGTACAGCTTGAAGACTATAAAGCATAATTTTCCCAGTATTAAAAACATCACCGAGAAAGAGAATTATACCAATTAAGAAAACGACTGATTTAGGCTGTTTGTTGTTTATAAATATAATGGTTGTCTTAATGCCCCTGTGTTGCGTTAGGCAAGCTTTTTTAATAGCAAATGAAAGAAAAAGTCAGTGTGGAAGGCTTCACTACTGCAAAATTAGTTTACAAAGTGGAAAAGAAAGAAAATAATGAATTTATGTATCCATCCACCATCCATACAGTGATTGCTGTCCATCTGTCTATATAGTTATCTATTTCTGTACCTGCTTACGTTTTTGGATATGTATAATGATCCATTTAGGTTAAGAAAATTGATACTAATATAAGAATATCTATTTACATTATATATATACACACACACACACACACACACATTTGTGTGTGTGTGTGTATGGATTATGTTACTAGTACTTTAGCAAAGTACATTCATAATATTTTCTACTTCTAGAAAACCCCCAAGACATCTCTACAAACAATAAAATTAAACAGTTGCTATAAACTGAAAGTCTATACCAGAGTTTCTCAAGCTCAGTTCTGCTTACATTTTGGATCTGTAAAGTCTTTGTTGGGGAGGGTGGTAAGATCTGTCCTGGGTATGTATGATATTTAGTGACATACCAGATCTCTATCCACAAGATGCCAGTCCTTTTCAGATGTGACCACTGTAAATGTCTGCAGATATTGCTAAATGTCCCCTGGGGAACCATAGACCCCCCAGATGAAAAACATTGTTTTACAATATATACAGGATAATGGAAACCAACACCTATAAATATATATCAAATCACAGGTGCCATTAAAAACATATAAAGCACATTGAAAAACATATAAGACAAACGGTGCATTCTATTCAAATTTAACAGGCATACAGATAATGTCATTAAAAATAATTTTCAAAGAAGAAAATGTCAATTTAGCTTCAGATAGACCAAAGTTCATGGAGGATTTGGGAAAATTCTCTCCACAGACTTGTTCGTTATCCCAGTTAATGACATTTCTGTCTCACACGCTAAGAACTGCAGTCATTTCCCGTTTCTTTTTCTTCCTTAATTCCCATATCCAGTAAGTCACTGAAGTATTTGTTATCCCACCTCAGACAGATGGCTTGAGTCTCAGCCCTGGCTATTCTGTATTCACTACCTTCATCTTCTATTGCCTGGCAAATTTTTCCTAACTTTCCTCTCTCTACCAGTCTCTTATCACTATATTTTTACACTACAACCAGGCAGAGAATTTTACAAAACAAGCCGCAGCCTAATTTCCCTGTATACAGCACCATTAAATCCCCATTGCCTGAAAGATAAAAATCTGCATTTCTGCATTATGTTTTTCCCATTTGAGGCTCCTGTCCTCCCAGTTTCATTTTTTATTCAAGGTTCTCTCAAGACACTCTGCCAGTAGACATGTTACCTTCCCTACCTAGACTGCACAAATGTGCCCTACTAACATATTCATTTCCTGAGTCTGAATAGAGAATATTTTATTAAAAGGAATACCATGCAATCTGAAATTGATTTCAGACAGCAAATGGTAAGATGTGAAGACATAAAGGAAACTCTATGTGCTTCCTTGTTTTTTTTTTCCTCCTAATGATTTCTTTTTTATGACCTTTATATTGCAAATATAAGACAAATACTGGAAACTTCATAAAACAAATACATAGCTTAAAGAGTGTTTAAAAGCCATGCACTCTTATAACTATCAACTGTACCTTAAGAAATAGCAATTTGCTAGCTCTGCCAAAAACTCAACTATGTGCCCTATCCTAATCTTGAATGCTTTTGTCTACAAAAGTAACCACTGTCCTTAATTTTGTAGCAGTTGCTTTCTTGTGTTTATTTTTAGTTTTATTATAACCTAATAATGCATCCCCAAAACCATAGTTTTCTGGGTTTGTTTTTTTTTTGGTAAATATTTATTTTAATTTAAGACTTATTTACAGGTTTCTCCTCCCTCCACCAACCCTTATAATTTATCCATTCAAGCCTAGGACATTTTTCTGTATAGTTTTCCTGAGCCTGTGTTTTGTTGACTGCTTACTCATGATAGGGTGTAATATGTTCCTCTGTCTTCTGCAGTTCCTCTGAATTGGTGTTTGGATCCAGAGAACTTTTCGTATTCATGCTTGACCCCTTGGCAAAATCATGGGTGGTGGTGAGGTCAGCCAGAGGCACATAGTGAATGGTTGTTTTGGGGAACTGTCATGGGTCTGAGATTTTAGTCCGCCAGCCAATGGCTTAGCCTGGCGCTGAGCTGGCAGGAGACCTGAGGCTCTGTGGCACAGCAGTCAGCGTGAGCTTCAAGTTTGAGTTGGTCCCTTTTGTCCCCAGGGATATTTCCGTGGGTGTGACTGGGAAGTGGGCACAAGTGCATATTGTATAGCAAATGGCTTGGGGTCACAGTTGAAAAACTCTGAGTTTAGGAAAGCCCAGCCTCCTAAGAGGGCTGACATAAAATTTACCCTCTGCCCTGGAGGGAGAAATTATTATTACATCCCAATGCTGTTTGCTATATGCATATCCTTGAAAACATAGTCCAGAACAAAGGCTGTTACAAGCAATACAGAAATGCCATACAGAATTGTCTCCCATCAAGTTTTCCTATTATTGGGGCCAGTCATTGATGTTGAATACCTAGAACTAATAATTCATAAGAAATTTTAAAATGACACTGCTGTAATTTTAAAAATACATTTTATTATTAGAAAAGTTTCAGGTATTCAGGAAAACTGTAAAGTACAGAGTGTTTCCATATAGCTCACATTCAGTTTCCTTTATTGTTAACATATTAGTAAGATTGTTTCATTTGTTACAATTAATAAACCAGTATTGAGTAATACTCATTTTAAGTTTTTTATTTTTTATCAGTAGAATACTTTATAAGATATGCTGTATTAAACCTATTATTTGGTTACCCAATGTTATAGATCATATAGAAAAAAGGATAAATATTTGATCATTTTCTTTTATTTACTGGTTATTAAAAAAAATGAATTGGTTCTATATCATTATCCAAAGGTGACTAATTCATTTCATTTAATATTATATACTCATAGATTAAAATGTATCTTGTGGGACTCAATAATGTGTTATTGCCATCATTTTCATAATTAAATTGCCCCATCGTCGTCCAGGAAGCATCTCCTGCAATCGGCTTTTGAGCCCTTTTGCCATGACCATGGTAATTTGTGATAGTTTCCTCGATACCTCATATAATGAGATGTTTCCGGCTCATCTTGCACATTTATTACCCCAGACCCAGGATCTGAGATTTCTGCAACAAAAAAAAAAGTATATTTCAAAGTACACATCAAGAACCACAAGCTAGATGCTATTTAATAACCTAAAGCAAAGCATAACTTCTAACACACTATACAGTTGGTTGAATGAATGAAACCAAAATAGGCCAAAAAAAAGCCATGACATTTAGAAAATATTTTGAAATCAACATATTCGTACCTTGTAAATAATAAATAAGCTATCTTAGAAGACACTATGTGATTTCCTCACTTTAGAATCCCTGCAAGGGAAAAAAGGGTGGAAAATGTTTGAAGGTGAAGTTGTTTATTAGAGTCTTCTGGAAAAACACATACACAGGGACACATACACAAGTGCCTCTCCTGGTGAGATATTATGTCAAAAAAAATGCAAATCCCTTCTCAGAAATGGAAGGGGGCCATGTGTGTCAGTAAGTAGGATGACTCTATACAGGATGAAGGGATGTTTAATACATGAAATTCTAAAATAATTATGCTTAAATAAACAAAGATATGAGAGAAAGTTTTCAAGACACTACATATTGTTCCTGGCTGAGCTTTTTATTTTAGTGCCATTCTTGTCATTAGACTAAGATCTGAAGCAATGAGACTGGTAAGCACCAGGAGAGTGGAGACCACGTCTGTTTTGCGCACCTCCAACCTCCCGCACTGAGAACAGTGCTCCTTATATAGGATGCGGGCAATATACATTTGTAGAGTAATTGAAAGGATGGATAAATAGACGAGGCGGAACTCACAGAGGATTAAGGACTTTTTTTTTGAGGAATGGAAGTTAAGTGAATATTTACTAAATACCTAATATGTACCTGTTACTTTTAGATATCAATTTGTCTAGTTTCTAAATTAAAGTGGGTAACTGTCTTTCATTTTCTTATTCAAAAAATTTGATAAAGTACAGTTTCACTAATTATTTTGGGTACCAGATATATGGAGGGAATTTTTTGTAAAGTGCACCTGAAACTAAAACTAATAGTAATAATAATAATAAAAAAATCACACGTTCAGTTAAATACTATGACATAGGTCATACAGTTAAGAAAGTTCTCCAAATTGAAATAACATGTTTTCCCATCCTTGTTTTTGAAGGCCCTGGAAGTAGTATTCAATCCTCTTACATTAGGATTCTAAAAAAATATTTACATTGTACATTTATGTACAGAATCTCATTGGATTCATTCTGCATGTCCATCTGAAGAGACGTCTAATTTATTGGCACATATAGTAATGCTATTTTAAACTTTTTGTTTTTTTTTAACATTTTAAAATAGAATTTAGAGATATCAGAATCATGTTATAGGTAATTTTGACAGATATTCTGACTTAGATAATATTTTCATCATAAAGAAAACTTAGAGTACGCTATTCTTAAGTCACAATTTTAGACTATATATCAATGCATATTACTTTCAACAAAGAGGACTTCTTACTAATTTTTGAAGTAAATATCTAAAAGTGGTTTGGATTTTGAACTCTGGAATAAGCAGATCTTTGTTTTTTAATATGTCTTCCTTCACTTTTTTTGTCTGAGTGACTTTGATCAAATTATTTCATTTTCATTTTTCACCAATAAAATAAAGATAATGGTACTTAAAGAGATGATGTGTTTATAAAATTATATGGCATATAAAATTCTTAAACACAGTAAATCCTAAATAATTATGTTAACATAATTATTAGGAATAATAAGTAGACACTGAAATTTGTGACTTGCATAAAGATGCTTAAATATGAAGAGCATTTTAATACCTAGTCTCCAAATCCCTGATCTCACTTTATGTTATATCTGTATTGCTAACTGTATCCACAGATAGCTATAGAATATCTGCTGTATTTATTTGACTTAAACATTAAGAACATCAGCCCTCGCTGGTGTAACTCAAAAGATTGAGCATTGGCCTGCGAACCAAAGGGTCGCCAGTTCGATTCCCAGTCAGGGCACATGCCTGGGTTTTGGGCCAGGTCCCCAGTTGGGAGCGCATGTGAGGCAACCACACATTGATGTTTCTCTCCCGCTCTTTCTTCCTTCACTTCTCCTCTGTCTAAAAATAAATAAATAAAATATTTTTAAAAAATGTTAAAAAAGAACATCATAAGTAACATAAGACCTCATTACTGGAGGAAATGATTCAAACAAGTATTTATTCTCTATAAATTAAGCCTTTTGTTTTGTGTTCTTACAACCAAATATTTACACTGATATTACAGTGTATTTTGGCAGTCCTGTCAAATCCAACCCTGATACTTTGACTCTACCCTTTCTGAAATTGCTCACCCTTTTCATTTAAAAATAACAGCAGACTAGTCCCAAAAGCAGTCACCTCTAACTTCTGAATCCTCAAAGGTCATATCCCACATGCTTTTCAAAAGAGGCAGCTGTTGGCATACATCATTTCATGGAGGACCATTTTCCTTCTTTAAATTGTGAGAGGGGGAAAAAATCACATTTATAACATACCTCAGACTTGAAACTGTCACTCTCAATTGTAAATTAAAGTGGTAGCAGCAGCTTTCCCATCTTGATGGTATACAGTTGTTCACTTAGAGAGAGAGAAACACAGTTTGATATGTGCTATGTGACAGAGGCAACACGTTGAACAAGAGTAAAGATTCAGGAATCACAGAAACAAGAAAAGCTAACACTGGGAGCCTGCTATTGTTTTGGGGTTTACTTCCCAAAATAATCCTAGGCATTTGGGACCTTAGTATCTCCATTTTACAGATGAAGAAACTCGGATACAGAAAGAGCAATAATTTTCCCCACATAGTGTTGCTAAATGCTAGAATGTGAACTCAGGCCGCGTTATTAGTTTGCTGGAATTGCCATAACAAAGTACCACAGACCAGGTGGTTTAAACAGAAGTATATTTTCTCCCAATTCTGGAGGCGAGAAGTTTGCTATCAAAATGTCAGTAGGGCTGGTTTCCTCCAAAGCCTTGCTCACTGGCTTGGAGATGTCTGCTGTCTTCCCCTATATCGCTTCACACCATCTTCCCTATATGTGTCCCTGTGTCTGAATTTCTTTGTCTTTTAAGGACATCGGTCATTTTGGATGATGGATGCCCTAATCACTTCAGTTTAATTCAATTACCTTTTTAAAGCCTCTTCTCCCAATATAGCTACATTCTAAGATACTGGGCAGTAGGACCTCAACCTACAAATTCTGAGGGGTCATAATTCAGTGCACAACAGCTAGATTGACTGGGGTTTACACCTTTATGCACTATGTAGCATCAATTGTTTGATTAATTAATTTTTAATATCATATGTATATTTGTTTGCATATCATATACTGTTCCGAAACTCCACAAGCCATTTGCAAATATTCGTGTAATTGTACTATGATGGAATTAATCACTTTTTAATGATCTTGCAGCTTTTAAGCATTTAGCAGGAATCCGTCCTATTTTACAGAAGAGAAACTTAAATAGCTTGCGCCAGGTCAGTAATTAACGAGGGCAAGGGTTAAACGAAGACCTGCAGGGCTGCAGCGCCCAAGTTTAACCATTGGGCTGCATTGTCCTAGCCAGTTTCTCCTTGGAAAACAAAAAACAAAAAACACTTATCAAATGCACAATGTAAATAGAAGTTACAATGCTTTGATTCATGTGTAGCTTCAACCTGTATGAAAGTGCTGAGAGCTAATCATTTTTTAAGTTGTATATATAGTTAATCAAAAGGTAAATCAAGGACATCCAAATATTCTTATTATCTTGCAATATAGTGTATTTCATTTCACTTAAATTTAATTCTCCAAAGTACTGAAGCTTAATGTGTACAAGCCCTGAGACAAAATAAATTCAATACCATATTTTAAGTACTTATAAAAAAGTGTTAAAATGTCAATTTGGAAATTAGGTTTAAAGATGTAATCTTACCCATATAAACACATGGAAATACATATACAAACACAAGTATATGTATACGTGTATATATATGTATACACACACACACATATATATATTTTTTAAGTTGATGTGATGGGGGTTTTTGCAGTACTTTTTTGTAACATAGACACATGTAATTGAGATTTGTATATAATTATGTAAATGAATCCACAGAAGCTCCCAATTTAATTTGTATAACCTAACTCTAGTGTAATGCGTCTATGATATAGGGATATACCTGAGACAAGGTCAGGAGATGTAAGACTATTTGGGAATGTAAACCTGAAGGGTGACTATGAAGGAGCTCTCTGGCCAGCTAAGAAAGATATATGACAAAAGGACATGACGGTCACTTTGAGAGAGATGAGTGAAGTAGTCCTTTTTTTCTATAGAAGTAAGGTATATCCTGCCAGGAAGTTGTGGATTGAGAGCTGGCTGAGTGCCAGTGATGCATGAATGGCCTGCACATTCGTAGAAAGTAAGGCCTGTAGCAGCAGTAGCAGCCTGGAGACTGGGTCGCAGTGGCTGAGGTTTAGTGGTTTTGCTGGGAAGAATTGGATACGATTCTCTGTCTACACAGCATGATGTCATGCTGGGTGAAATGAACATGGATTCAACTCTGCCACAGCTGGGTACGTGACATTTTGACATTACTCTATTTTTCCAAATCTAATTAGTCTCTGCTTACCAGAGTGGCATAATCACAGGAGTTTTAAGGAAAGTGAGAAAACTGGAAGTGAATTTCCAAAGCCAAATGCACCCTCCCACTGGAAGGTTTTACATGTGAATGACATATATAGTCAGTCACTTTCTCTCTCTAGATGCAGCAGGGCTATGTAATGATTGCTAAAAGTTTACTATTTTTTTCTGGTAAATTTCTTAATATGATGCCATAGTTATGAATGTCCTCTTCTTTAGGAATTCGCAGCCTTGCCCTAAGGTGCAGAAAGAAAATGAATTGCCTAGGGAAACTTAATGGAAAGCCTTACTGATAGAGAGTTTACGATTTGCTACCACATTTGTCACTGTCAGAGAACACAGGAATTCTGCCGTCATTACCAGCAAGAGGGCCTTTCCTCCCCTGCCACCCCACCCTCATGCCTCCCTGCTCCTTACTCTTTTCTGGGATACAACAGATTATTGAATTTCAAGTCTATGGATCACAGGAATCGCTATTATATTTGTGGATGTTTTGAGTGATGGAATATACTAGTATTATTTGTATATGATATCTAATTGAGTGTGAGTACATAAAAGACTGGAATAGAATTTAAGAATTCAGAACCCTTTTGACTTGCTGCCAAAGGTCTTAACAAAAGTAAAGAGGCGCATTTTCAAATGATACTGATATTAAAGAAAAATATCCAAAAAATATAGATTTGATGCATAATCTGAATAGGAGAAAATCTAGAAACCAGAGTTTTATTCACTTAGCCAATTGCTTTTCACGTACATAAAATTGTTCCCAAACACGGATTAAACATTCAGGAATTGAGAGGTACTGCAATCAGTTAAATCTCAAGGTAGACAGAGGGACATATAAGGAACTATTTACTACTAACACTAAGGACCAAATTAGAGGAAATGACTAAAATAGAAGAATAAAGGAATTGTGTCAAATACAGAAAAATTAACAGTTGTTATTAGTTGTGAAATGAAATAGAGATTTAAAAATAATACTGATTTTGTTTTTCTGAAATGACGTGGAGGTAAATGGTAAGCTCACTGAAGCAATGCGATATTTCTAATCTTTGATTGAATAGCACCTATTGGAAATCCTAAGAAGTTTATAATGGCAGATGTCACACTTTTTCTTAAAATATTATATGAGAGTAATGCTTATAAATGACCTTTAGAACACACCATGTGTTTTTCTTAGGTTGATGGTAATATGGTATGGAAAGTCAGTGAAATCTATCTTCTTTTGCCATTTCTTTTGATTTCCATCATTGAATGCCATAAATGAAACCAATTGCCCCTTGGGTCAGAAAAGGTTTGAAGCATTTAAAATCTTAATGAGCTTCAGTTGCATTACACTTTGAACAAAGCAGATGCAGAAGTATACATTGAGAGTGGAAATCAATCCATTATAGGCAGCAAGCGCTTACACCACAGGGACAGATATCTTCAGGTGGGCATTCACTCTTCAGTTGACAAAATAGGCAGTTTCCTGGGACTAACCTTGAGAGAGCTAGAAACCGAGTCAGGGTTCTCTCTGTGCTGGGGCATTCTGATGGTGTCTACTTACCACTGTTGTTCTTGAGCACAAATCAGGATTGCGTTGTTTGAACATTTTTGTTAGCAGAATGTTTATGAAACCTTTTTTCGTGGAAAATAATTTCTCAAAAGACCTTAAGCGTAGCTTTTTACTTTTCAATACCATTCCATTCAGCAGCCATCATTGAATGTTTGTTCAGTGCTGGGCTCAGTAGGAAGGGCTGTACCATGCACAGAAAAAGTATAAGGAACCAGTTATTTAACATAGGTTTAAATTGCAACTTGAAGAAGCAAGATATAAACATACCAAAGTTACATAACAAAGAAATTAAAAGCAACAGTTCTTATGTAATGATATTATAATTAGTTTTGTTTTCAAATCCGATTCTCCACAGAGAGTGCATCTTGGCTATTATCAGAGATAGTATTTCCAGTTTCTAACATCTGTTGAACACTATTATTCAGACACTTTCATTATATCTTCTAATCCTTATAAAACCTTCATAATAAAGGTATTGTTATTTTTTAACAGGCGGAGCAACTGAGGCTTAGTAAGAATAAACTGTTTGATGATCGCAATGCTAGGAAGCAAGAGGCTTAGGTTTTGAGCTCAGCTCTACCTGGCATTTTAGTCTACATTTTTTACATCTATATTTTCCTTAGATAGGTCCCTTTCTAAGAGCAGTTTTTATGTTCATAAAAAAGTCCTGAGATAGTTAAAAAAAATTGTGCTACTAAGATTAGGATGCTTGAAAGGAAAGGAACAATGGATGACTGACATTATTGTGTGATCCTATCAGGTGTTGTAAAAGTTAATTGACACATTTAGATATCTCTTGACTTTTACCAGGATTGCTTTGTGAGCTGCCAATATGAACGCATATCCATGTTATTGACTTGCTTTTAAGAGGATATTAAATCGTTTATTGGATACTCATGATAATAGATGCTATACAGGCTTCATTCCCACGTGTAATTTTCCCTGGTACCATAATTCAATTTGGATATATTGCCTTGGATGTGCCAACAATCATTAATAACCAAATAAACTTTTAATGGTGAACTCCAGGTTACAACACAGTAACTGTTAATTCACCTACACCAAGATTTCTGAAAACAATGGCTTTTGCACCCAAGAATGTTGTAAATAAATTTCAAATGAAACCTGGCATCACCCTGAAGGAATTCGAACTTCACACGGATGGCTTCCAAGTAGGCTACCTTTACACAGCATGCTTTTAAAAAGATACATTTATCAAAGTCATGATCAGACTATTACATCTTGTTCAGTATTAAACTGAAAATAATCCAACCATTACTGTTTCCTATGATTTTATTTGCAATCAGTAAGCATTGTAGCTAATGTTATGTGTAGTGGAGTTTCTTGTTGAGCTTTTTCAAGGTATTTGTTCACAGAAAGGCATTAAAGGTACCTGCAATGATGTGACTATGAATATCAGGAAAAAAAATAAAAACAGAAAACTTGGGAGATGGAAATCAAGGCATAATTTTTTGCCTTTACATATAAGAATTTTATCTTTATTTTCTATAACTCTTTACAAAGCCTTTGGTCCTGTGAGCCCCTCCAACATAATATATAAGAGCAATAAACCTTGGGTTGAGAGATTTGCTATTATCTTTTTCCCTATTATTTACATTATTTGTCAGGGTCGAAGAAAAGGATTTGTGGGATAAAGTGAATAGGGTCTTCACCATCATTATCATCAAATAATCCACTGTGCCTATGTTATATATTACCTACTAATGGTGGCTTTGTTCAAAGTGGGTTAAACATATGCATCCTCAGCATTAACATATAATGATGTCCAGAGTTCACACAGCAAAAGGATATTTGTTAAACTAATGTTTAAATTGCATACACTGTTTTGCAAGACCAGAGAATAGCAAGCAGAATGTACAATAAAAGTGACTCATTTTAGATACCAGAATCTCATTTATAATAAACAATTCCTCCAGTCCTTGAATCTCAACAAAGAAGTAATTCTTGCTGTAACCTGAACTTTTCATAAAACCAACAAATATTTTTCTAAGAATAATTTAGTGAATACCCCAGAATCAGAAACACATATATTTTACAATGTAGTTCAAATATAAGTACATTAAATAATACATGAATGCAAAGATGTTCTTATTTATGGATTACTTTCTCTTATAACCAAAAGTGCTTGGCGCTCCCTCTTCTATGTTGAGTTGATCCTTCTCTATATGTTCAGCATCATTCTTGGTCCATATCTTTAATGCTTCTTATACTAGAGCCCTTATTGTTTGCTGGCTATTTTTAGCCTCTCCTCATCTGTGGTCCAGAAGACATGTCAAGTGGCACATCTTTATCAATTAAAAGCTGGAAAGAGTTCATCCCCCTGACAAATTGTAAATTGCTATTGACTGCTTCTTTGCTCATAAGCCTCTTTTTTTCACCTGGGTGTGCTTTACCTGCGTTTTCTCTGATAATCCCATGTATGTATCCCTTCATCACATGGTAAGCCAATGAACTTGTGTAGCTTTTGATAAGACAAATCACTTTCTAAATGGAATCAGAGCTAATGATGAGCCTATTAGAAATCACGATATATGCTATGACATATTTTAGACAACAGATCAATTGACAATACATCCTCCTTCCCTAACATTTATCTTAGTGTTGTCATTGCAACCTAAAGCACTTGATAATTGTTGTATATAAATTAAAGGGTAAACTATTTTCTTAATGAGTGAAATGATTTTAGTATTTAGACCAAATTATATTACAAAATGTTTTGTCTCTCTACTAAGAATTCAGTTCTAATAAGTCAAAGGTATAACAATTCCGCCACTTAAATGGCTTGTAGGGATCTAAGTCTGGATTATTCCAGGCAGGTGTAATTTCAGACAAACTGTGGTAAACAGTGCATGCCACTGTGACTTTTAACCTCTCTTTTATATTCTCCTAGTACTAATCTCTTCAATCCAAAATGCACAGTATCTCAGGAATGCTTAAAGTGACTCAGTATTCCAAGTCTGGTGCCAGACATGAGTAGTTTCATATGTTCTGTCCCTCTTCACCTCCACTTTTGCTCCATCAGGATTGTATCCTTCTAGGCATTTAATGATAGCATGCTCATTCTTAAGAACTGTGAAACCTGGGGCAAAGGTATAAATGGAGGCCTCTATATTTATGTCTTGTTACTTACTATATATCAAACAGATATTATTAAATAAAATGTTTTATTTTCCACTTTGGCAGATATATTTTTATGCCTACTGGATGGCAGGTAAAGTGTGAGAACTTTTGGACATCTCAGAAATATTGTGTCATACAGAGAGTGGACTCCAACCCTTATGCCGTCCTCTAACCAGTTCCATCCTTATTGTGACAGGCTGTGCAATGCAATGGAATGCACACTCTAGCCCACAGAGGCAAACTCCATGCACTCACCCCTCAAACATTTGCATCTGAACCATTCAGCCTTCCTAGATGCATGGGCATTGGTGGCAGAGTCTACTGTCTGAGGGACAGAAGTGGGAAAGATGAGATCCCTGGCCTAGGACAAGGACTCAGGGCTATTTGGAAATGGAGTTCTATAATCACAGGTATTTGGAGCACAATCTAGAAAAATGCATGTTGATCTGGATGGGCATTCTGTTGACTCCACAGAGTTTGCCTAGTGGTGAAGGTGTGGCCAGAGAACAGGCAGGTGCTCAATGAATATTTATTGGTTTCCTACCATGTATACCAGCACTGCTCTGGTCATATGGGATTCATGATTAAGCAAATCAATGTTCTTGCCTTTGTAAAGCTTATATTCTGGAAAATATAGACTGTAAATACTCAATGTAATAAATATGCAAAATGTGTAGTGCATTCGAATATGAGAACTATTGTTGAAACAATAAAAGTTAGAGCAGGCAAAAGCTGGGAGTGTTGGCCTCAACTGAGAAGTTGAGATGTATGCAGACACTTGAAGGTGGTGAGGAAATTAGCCAGAAGGATAACCAGAGCAAGAGAATCTTAAGCCTTTAAGAGTGTAGTGAGCGCCTTGGGACAGGACCATGGTTGTCATGTCGGAAGAACAAAGAGACCACAGAAACTGGAATAGAATGAGCAAGGTCGAGAGGTAAGAAAAGAGGTCAGAAAAAAATGAACTGATGGCCAGATCACACAGTGCAACGCCATCCAGCAGAAATGTAATGACACCCATAAAAAGGTCATTTTAATTTTTGTGTAGTCACAATAAAAAGGTTAAAAAAAACAGGCTAAGTTAACTTTAATAACTCACTTCATACAACTCAATTTATCTAAAATGTAATTTCAATATTTAATCTTTGAAATCAAGAGTGTATTTTACACTTACAGCACATCTCTCCATCAGTACTAGCTCCTTTCAAGTGCTTAATAGGCAAATACAGCTAGTGCTTACTGCACTGGACAAACCAGAAAGAGATTTTGACTCATCATTGAAAGAACTTTGTATTGCTCTGAGTGATTTGGGAGATGTTTCAGGGTTTTAAGAATGTAAGTGTCATGATTTGATTTATGTTTTAAAGATCAAGGGTAGCCTTACCTGAGGAAACACCGTAAGGAATCAAGAGTAGAAACAGGGAGACTTATTGAAGTAATCTTAATGAGGAGTGGCAGCAGCTCAAGGGATAGCAGCGGCTGACATAAGAAATGGTTGAAATCCTGACCATTTTAAATATGGGACAAATAGTAAGGATTGTATTTGGTGTGTGAGAGGAGAGACAAGGATGATTTCAAGGCTTTGGACAGAACAACTGGAAGGATGGATTGACTTCAACTGAGACGAGAAAAGCTGCTGGAGGGATAGTGGAGGAAAGATGCCTGGCCATTTTGGAATAGGTATGTCTGAGAAATGAGTTAGGCATTCAAGTGGAGATGGAAAGAAGAAAGTTGGACATGAGTCTAGAGTATAAGGAAGAGTTCGGACATAAGAGTTTGGAGATTCTCCCCCTTGAAACTGGGTAAGATCACCAAGGGAGTAAAAGTGGATAGAGAAGAGGATACGAGGGATGGAGCACAGGGACATCTGAAATTAAAAGGTCTAAAGTAACATGAAATTGATGCTAAAACAATATAAAATACTTTAGTAATTTTTCAGTTTATTTAATATTTAAAAGTGTAACACATGCTCATAACTGTTATTATGATCTTGTTCGTTTTTCTTGAAAAACTATACCTTTTAATGAAACCTAAACCTTTTTCCTGTGACATTTTGCTTTCAAATGTCTCACAAACCTCTAATTAGTTAATTCATAGATGACTACATTAAGAAATTAACAATAAAAATAAAAATGTTCTCATGATCAAATTAGCAACTGTAATGTCTTTAATGCATATTTTTATGTGTTCCCCAGTGACGTATAAGGCGACTTTTCTTTGATAGTTATAGTGATAAACACCAAATTAGCAATTTGAAATCTGTCCCACAGGTTACAGATAGAGCTTTTTTTATTAATGATAAGCTTACTAATTTGCATTTTTTATATAAGGTTTGATTGATGATTATATGTTCTTACTGATTTTAGTCTGTCAACAAATGATATCTTTAAGGCTTGAATTATATTCAAATCTCAGGTATGAAGAATGTTTCATAAAACAAAATCCATTATTTTATTATAGACACATTCATGAATTTAAAAATATAAAAGTTGTATTTCAAATGAGATTTTAACTCTTTGTGATCTTGTGTTATTCAGGCAATTATTTACAATATGATGAGGAAATGGGTATATTCTTAAAACTTAAAAATATGATTAAATTATTACATAAATTTACTGACAAATAATCTTTAATATTTTAACAGAGGCATTTGTTTGTGTCTTTTCAGTCTATTCGAGAAGTCACAGGCTACGTGTTAGTGGCTCTTAATCAGTTCCGTTATCTGCCTCTGGAGAATTTACGCATTATTCGTGGGACAAAACTTTATGAAGATCGATATGCCTTGGCAATATTTTTAAACTACAGAAAAGATGGCAACTTTGGACTTCAGGAACTTGGACTGAAGAACTTGACAGGTAAGGAAAATATATAAAATAGCAAATATACTGTCATTATCAATATAACATTATAAACACACCTGTGTGTCTGCGAGTATGTGTGCATGTGGTTACTGTTGTATGTTATGCTGAGGAACAGTATAGAGCATTTAAACATCTACTATTTATTCATCTTATGAGAAATTATGCCATATTATTTCCTTGTTTTATATACAGATATTGTGAGTGCAGTCTGAGGGATACCTTAATACTGTTATCTAAGCTGAACAGAAGTACACTGTTCAGGAAATGCTCAGTGACTGAAAACTGAGATATGAAGCTGGTTTAAGAATGCTATGTTTAATGGTCTCAGGTGGATGGTGGAGCATATCATCAAATCTCTGCAGTAAAGCAACTCTCAGTCTTGGTAAAGCTTAGTAAATACATAACTCGTTATATCTACTATTTTGTTCAATTCCTAATTTTTGGAAAAACATACTTAATTTATTAATTCAGTTTTGATTTCTATTGTTTAGTAAATCACTAAATGCCACTTACAATTCTTTCTCTGAATTTTTTAATACCATCAGTGATTTTTTTCCCCCCTAAGACTGGAGATAGGTAATTGCTAACAACTTAATGTTATCATCTTGCTACAAAAAACAGTGTGTAGAATTTTGTTTTGTAAACTGGTCCTTGCAATCCCGCTGATATCTCATTAGTTCAGACAGTTCATAGTTAGTAATGACTATGGTGGAAGGCTTTTTGTTACAAGGTTTTTAATCATGAATTTTGCCATGTGTGCCTGTAATCAAAATGTGCTAATTAGTAGTTAATTATCATCCCACAGTGGGAAACAGGAATTTAGACTCTTAATTATTCTAAATTAATATCTATATATTTTGCATAAAAAATATACTGCTTCTATGTGTATTTGAGTTCACTTACTGGTAATGTTTGTTGATATTAAAAGTGAAATATTTTAGAGGCTTTACCTTAAATATTAAGAAAAAATTATTAGTAGTATTATTATTATAATCATCAGGCCATTGAAATAGTTTATTTCTTTCACTTCTAGTGGATGTAAAATATATCCATTCAAGTTAAAAGTAGCTTCATAGTTAGCCAGACATGAGAGGTGAAACTAGGATATTTTGGATAAAAAAAGGAATATTGATTATGTTACTTTTTTTGGACATAATTACCACAGAATTGATCACATAATGGTAAATATGAATTGTCCTGTATTTATAGCTTCCTTCAGTAATATGTTTACGTATTACTAAGAAGCAGGGTTTTTGACTAAATTACTACTTGCATGAAAATGATAGGAGAAAGAATTTGTAAGTGGAATAGGAGAATTTGTAAGTGGGATAGAGAAACATTGAATGATTGAAATTAGGAATCTAAAAATATGATCCAATTAAAATTTGCATAGGAAATATTAGGTTTCCTTCATAATTTTTCTATCGTTACAGCAAAGAAGAAATGAATGATTTTTTAAAAATTTTATAATGCTTGAATTATAGTACTATTTTATAATATGTGATAGTTGTAGGCTGTTTTTATACAGAACATAATCTTTAAGAGTTCCTATTTATTTCCACATTTAAAGCCATGCTACTAAATATTAAAGTTATTTAATCAGAATTATGCCACATTTAAACATATTGTATCTATGGAACTTACACCATGTATTACTTGTGACTGTGAGGGGTTTTTAACTTGTGTAAAAACAAAACATGTCACCATTATTTAAAAAAAGTACTTCCTACTCTTCCAGAAAGCCTTACAGTATTTTCTTGTGCAGTAGTAAAAATGGGCAATTAATAAATGACTAGACAAATGAGTTGATTGTTTAGAAAATAAATGTGTATTTGTTCAAAAGTTATAATTTCTTTTTTGAATATAAATTAAAATGTAATAAAATAAATGGCAAAACATTTAGACAATTTGTAAAATTTCCAGAAATTTTAATGTATTTATTATGTGGTTGACAATGACAGGGCAACATTATTCTCTGAGACAGCCTAGAACCATTGATCTTACTTTAGGTAATAGGATCCATAGTGTAACTTCAATTCTGAAAATCAGAAGTTACACAGTAAGCAGGGTTTGTGTTAGTGTGTAGGAATATACAAGGGAGGGCAAGAGAAACCTAACTGTTCACGTAAGGTGGAATCGGGATACAACTTGCTCTACAGCAATATCTTAAAGACCTAAGCATTGTAAGTCACCTGATTAAAGTAACAAGCAAGCATTACAATTTAATTCCAATAAGATTGTGTTTGTATTTTCAAAATATATTTGTTTTATGTTGTTTGTGTATGTGTTATAACAAGTGAGCTAATGCATTTCTTTAAGACTCAATAGTATCACTTTATTCAGGAGATAATCAAATACAGTAAAGGGTTGACACTGAAAAAATAGCTGTGCATAGAAGTATATAAATCACCCTGGCTGGTGTGGCTCAGTGGACTGAGTACCAGCCTGAGAACCAAAGGGTCGCCAGCTCGACTCCCAGACCAAGGCAGACACCTGGATTGCAGGAAGGAGGCGTGCAAGAGGCAACACACATTGACGTTTCTCTCCCCCTCCCTTCCCCTCTCTAAAAGTAAACAAACAAAATCTTAAATATATATATGTATACACACACACACACACACACACATATATATATACACACATACATATATATGCTACATTCTCCAGAAAAGATTCTGATGTTGTAATCAGGAAGAGAAAGCAGGTTTCTAAACAACTGCAGTGTTTCAAGCAAGTGTCTCATATCCCCTGCATGACGATGACCCCAGGTGGAGGTGCTCCTTTCAGCAGGAAGAGGAGGAGGAGGCCATTTTTTTAAACAATTAAACTTACATTAATATAAGGCTACCAGGCCTCCCCTAATTTTAGATTTACCTAGTGTAATATAAGGCAAAATAGAAAACCAGCTGAGTACTCAGATACTACACTGATTACTGTCCTACCAAATTACATTTTTAACTCAGTTCTTAAAGGACCAGCAGTGTAAGCATTACCTGGGTACTTGTTAGAAATGCAAATTCTTGGGCCTCACCTGAAACTTAACGGATGAGAAAATAGGGGTGGAGTCCATCGATATGTGTTTTAAGAATTCCTCCAATGATTGTGATGACTACTGAAGTTTGAGAAACACTGATCTAATTAATAAAAGATATGTTACCAAGAAATGGTATCACAATATATAGTTAATTTCTTCACTTGACCCAAGTAATTTTCATTCACTTATCTTTTGGAGAGATGTGAAGGAATGGGGCAGAGAATAGATAAGTTTTGATTGAATGATAGGATATACACCTTTATTTGGGGTGGAAACATGTGGATGGGTATAAAAGAGTTTAGAGATGAAGAAAATGTTGGGATTAAACTTTCTTCTGTATTATCATTTTGCCTAACAACAGCTTTTCATAATGATAAACCATTACAAAGACTAATAATTCCTGGTGAATTTTCTTTTTAAGCAAACTTCTATTTTTAAGCACATTCAATGAGAAAAACCAGTGCAAGTTGGGATAATGTGGATTATGTTATAGGAAAGAATTTGTTTCCCCGGAAATCTGTTTTTGCTGCATTGACTTAGAATAATATGTCTTTATCACAGTATATTTGCCACCTACCAAGTCTATCTTTGTGTAAAATGTATGTTCCATTGACGTTAGGACTCTCATACATAAGGGTTATGCATTGGATACTACTTAAACATAAATTAACTTCCACCCTACATATACTTATTAATTAGCTTGATGCTCACCAAAAGCTCTTCCTTGGACAATAGGCGTTATTACAGTTCTTACTTACATATTTCCATTGTGGTTGCATCCAAAGGCAAGAAATACATCTAAATATTTTTTTCTAGCTTAACAGAAAGACTTGCTTGCCTACTGTCACTCACATTTTCCTGGTCCGGTACGACTATGCTAGGTAGAGTGGAGAGGAGATAGGTTTCTAGACTAAGGGTAATTCAAAAGGGAGTGAGGGACTTGTCTTGGTAATTTCTAGGTGCTCTGCTACACTAGGTCATTCTTTTCTTGTGGGGAGAGAGACTGTTTTCCATCAGTGTGTCCGTTCAGGTGCGTAACCATCCTGAGGTCACCGGCAGTGACACTACAGCTTTAGAGGAGTTCAGAGCTGGATAGACATCCATGACTTCCCCTATTAACATCACTTGCAAGTGGCTGTGGATCTTATTAATCATTCCCAATGATGATGTTTTGTTAATTTTTTAAATCAGCTCCTTCTTAATTAAACATTCTTATTCAAAGCCCAAACCAACATTTAATAATTTACAAACTTAAGCTTAAGAGCTTCTACTTATTTAGTCACCTATCTGGCCGAAATCTAAAGGTTGTTTCATTATATGGGAAATGGAAAAACACTATTATTTTCTGACTTCTGTAATTTAAAAAGTACTTCATGTATTGGTAATGGTGGATGATATTAGATAGCTTCATCTATATGTTACAGACATGCAGCAATCTTTGAGAAATACCTAAGTTCATATCTATTCTGTTCTTTGTATCCCATTTGTAACGATGATAACCTAGATACAAATTTAATACATGAATATGTACATTTTCATCACTAGGTTTTAAGTATTTGAATTTTTATTTTATGGATTATGAGAATGTCTCTTTTAAGTATGAAATTTGGGATGCTACAAAGATACAATTTCTATTTTTAAAAGGTCAACCAAATGCTTTCTTTTTTAGACCAACATATTTATATGTTAGTACCTTTATTTAGTATTTTATGAATATTTCCATTGGTTCACAGCATGTTAGGTCATCCTGATCAGATTATTTTTGAGAAGCAGACAAAAAGTTTCAACAAAAAGTGAAATGCTGAAGGTGTGTTTTTTTATTTGTTTGTTTTTTTGTGAGGGAGGCCTCAAAAAAAAATTAAAATACATATTAAGTTTACTGAATTTTAGAAGACTAAAAATAAAATGCTTAGTCTGGGAGATAGGTCTGAATGATATAACATTTGAACAATGTAACATCTGACTATTATATTGAATGTCTGCTTTCAAATATGCATAGGCTATTAATTAAAATAGTGCATCCAAGTAATACAGTACCTTTTAAAGTTTAAGTTTCCCAACCCCTCAACATTTGACCATTAAGTAATGGTCAAATAAATGACATAATAATGAAATTGATAGACCATTTCTAATTGACTCAATGTATTTCAAAAATTATAAATTTGAAATCAGAAAATTCTCTATTCAACTGGGAGATTGCTACTTACAATCTGTCTCTCTTTTCTTCAAAATTGAAAAGAAAATTCCACCTCACAGTGTTGTTACATGCATTCATGAAATAAGGCAGAGAACTGTCGACCATAGCACCTTTCTCATTGAAGATGTTTAGGGAAGATCTGGTTTTTTTTCTTTGTATTGTTTTGTTTTTAATTTTCCTTTGTGTTGACATGCTGACAAAACAATTGCATTTGTTTCTGAGCATTCAAATGGTTCCCATGGCTTCATTGAAGCTTTGAAACGTGACTTGCATAGACAAAAAGTGCTCCAAATTTCATCCTCTCTAATGATATTACTTCGAAAGGGCTTCAAGTATAAGATCTGTTTCTCTGGCAGTGAAAAGCCCGAGGCGTGTCTTTGTCTACTATCAGTACGACTGCTGCTTTTGGTACTTCACAGTACTGCTCTCCTGTCTTTCAGTGGCTGAGGCCAAGCACCTGTTGCCCCAGCCCTTCACTTCAAATCTCCATCATCATGTTTCATCCTTCATTGGCGCTGACATTGTCTTGACCTAAATAAGAGACATGTTCATTGTGAGCTCTTTTTCTGACATTACCGTTGCTAAGCATTCTTCAGGTTCTCTGTGAAAGGTCTTAGTAATGTTTGAGTGGGTTCAACTAGCCTAGTTCAGATTGGTGTTAAATACAATGTTTGACAAAAGTACTGCTAATATTTACATTAGAAGAGCTACTCAGCATATGGTGATAGCTGCAGAAAAAAAGCGATTCCAAGTATACTCTTAGCTTAAGAATAAATTGCTTGAAAATGATTTGATTGAAACTTACCTATACTGAAAATCTTTTGAGTCTGATAGAATCCATGAAGCGTGGCACATTTTTATGGAGGCGTCAACTTAAGATCAAGCCCATATTTTCTCAAAAATGATACCCTAATAAATGTTTCTAAAGAACATTACTTGCTCGTCATGCCAGATAAAAAAATGAAAATCATAAAAAACCTAAGCAATGTGTTTGTGTTTAGACAAAACAGAAACATATTTGAAAGGAAATGTTATAAAAATGGGATCAGATAGAATGGCCATCTTAGCAAATTCTTAGGGTGTGTTCTCAGTTATAGAGAACTGATGAGTGAATTTATAAAACTGAATTAAAGTAAAATGGGAATTTCTCCCTCAGTTGTACCAATGATCAGAGAGGAGAAATAAGCCATGTTACTGCAGAAATAAGGCATAGAGTCGTGGGATTTATAGGAAAGAGCACCATTCCTTCTCCTCCAGCTAACATTTTTATGTCATGAATTGAAATAATCTGCCCAGGCCATAAAAAGCAGCCCCTTTGACTTATCTTCTGTTCAGAGGTCCTGAAGGAGTCGCATTCTTTGTACTACGTTCTTTTTCATCCTGACACCATGCTTAGAAAAAAAATTGGGAGCAAACCTAGCATTATGAGAGTTTCTCAGAAAAATTCTCTATTTAGGCATCCTGTAATTATACTTCGTTGTCCCTGAAATACACTAGGATATGTCTTTTGCTCCCTAAGAAAGAAAGCTTATTTATTCTAAGGATAGAAAATATATAAGGTCAAAAAACTCCCTTATGAAAACTCATTTCTTGAGAAAGCATGCTTGTTTGCTTATGACATTCAGAAAATGTAGGAGAGTCTTTTTTCCTCAGGGTCCCAAATACAATAATAGAAATTGATTAATTATTAGCATGATAGTATTGCTTCATTCTGGGGACAGCAGTAAAGATATCAGAGTATCTTCCTTCTCACCCTTATGGCAGATTAGCTTCGTTGGGCCTGCAGACACCCAACTTGAAAGAATTCGCTCTTTAAACTCTCTGCATCCATTCCCAGTCACCAAGCAATGCTGGGGCCAGAATCATAGATCACCTCCCATTCTGAATCGCTGAAATGAAATCACAGCTCTGGAAGCAGTGGGAGACATGTTTGGGGGTAACACAAATTTGTATTTTAATATAACCAAAGAATGTCTGTGATCTTTGACAAGCCGCTATTGCAATTTATATTTTATTTTTTAAAAAGATTTTATTTATTTATTTTTAGACAGAGGGGAAGGGAGAAGAAAGAGAGGGAGAGAAACATCAATGTGTAGTTCCCTTTCATGCGCCCCTGCTGGGGACCTGGCTCTCAACCCAGGCATGTGCCCTGACTGGGAATTGAACCGGCAATGCTTTGGTTTGCAGGCCAATGTCAATCCACTCAGCCACACCAGTGAGGGCTACAATTTAAAATAAATAAATAAATATATATATATATATCATCTAGTTTAGTCCAAAGAGGCAGCCCTAAGCTTGAAAGAGCATAAAACTCTCAGTCTTAGGTAAGAAATGAGGCTTCATGTTGTTCTCTTCCTATATTTATCAAAGGCATGGTGATTATGATCCCTATATTGTTCTGAATTTACACATTTTCTAAAATGCTTTCCATTTCCTTTTTTATTTTATTTTTTCCACATCAGCCCAATGATGCTGACTGGGGAAGTATTTTGATTATTATTTTTCATATAAGGACACCAGGCCTAAGGTCTTGTGGCTAATAAAGGGCAACTTGTCTGGAATCTAGACCTGTTTTCCATCTCTTCATATTGTGCCATTCCTAAGAAATGTTTAGAACAATTTCTCCAGGTAAGACCACAATCAGAAAAAATAATAAATTGCCTGTGTACATAAGCACTTCAAAATTAAGCAGAAAATCTTAAGGTTATATTTTAAAAAGAACTTCTGATTTTAATTGTTGTATAATATTTGAATACATCATGGGTGTATGTATGGAAAATGATGGTAAGTTGATAAAAATATATAAATATATACATAAAATGATAATATTGTAAATACTAGATTTAATTTTAAAATATCAGATTTTGCTCTGGCTGTTGTGACTCAGTGGATTGAGTGCTGGCCTGTGAACCAAAAGGTCATTGGTTTGATTCCCAGTCAGGGCACATGCCTGGATTGCAGGCCAGGTTCCAATTTGGGAGCATGTGAGAGGCAACTGATTGGTGTGATCTATGTGATATTTCTCTTGCACATCAATCATGTCGATGTTTCTCTCCTCTATTTCTCCCTTCCTTCCCCTCTCTCTAAAAAATAAATAGATAAAATCTTTAAAAAAATGAAACTCTACAATTAATTTAGTTAATTGCTTTGTTAAGGTATACCTTCTCCCTTTAAAGAGCAATGTTGTAATGTCATTGTGAGAAGAAAATGACCTAACAAAGGTAAAGCACTGTATACAATGGTAAGCTTTCAATAAATATTATTTTAAAATAAAAAACAAAAGTATCAAATTTATTAAGTAATTTTATAACCACTGTCATTCAACAATGGCTTTTTGAAAATTGAGATTACTAAACTCTTAGCCATAACACAAATATTTATTAACAGTCTCACTTTTATTGGAAAATGTTTAGGATTCTTTGGAATGTGATGTCAGTTCAAATATTTGTTAGCTTTGGTTTTTTTTTTCCCACTTGTATATTCAAGATGCGCTGAGATACAAGCCCTTCCAAATTATCTCTACATACCTGTCTTCTCTCAGTAAATATTAAATTTCTGACAAATGTTTACCCACCAGCCACTATGTGAAAAAGTTTGGAAAGTATTTTCCCTATCATTATTATTATAGCCAAGTGCCCCTAATTTAATCTATTTTACCTTCTAAAGCACCACTGTTCAAGAGAACTTTCCATGACAATGGAGACATCCTCGGCTGCACAGTTGAATAGCCAGTAACCAAATGTAGTCACTTAAAACTTGAAATATGGCTAGTGAGATGAAGGAAATTAAATTTTTAATTTTATCGAATGTTAATTCAGTTAAATTTGCATAGACACCTGTGCTAGTGGTGATCATATTAGACAGTGCAGCACTGAATGGACAGCGTGTTTCACCGAACCCAGTGCAGCAGGTGAGGATCTCTACAGGCAGACCTATGCAGCTAATCAGAGCACAGGCTCTGGATCCGGACCCCATCTGATCAAATTCTGTTCTGAGCCAGGATACTCAACTTTCCGAGCCTCGGTTTTATCATCTTCAAAGGAGTATAATGAGGGTCCTCAGTTTGTAATATGGTTGTAAAAGTGAAATTATACATTTCATATGTATAATTAAATGTAGTTCCTGCAATAAATGTTATTGCTTGAGAATTATGCTGTTGGTATAAAATTAGGGAAACCATCTATTTTTATAATCATTGAGAGTATGCTAGGCTCATATAATTAAATTATAAAATATAGAATGTGTCACTTATGGTTTAGGGCCTAACTGTATTTTATATTTGTGTTAGCTGGGCTCTGGATGGCATGTATTGCTTCTTAATGTGCTTCAAGCCACTAGTTGTTATGTCTTTGGTTTTCTTGTTTGTCAGAAGTGTGACACTTTAAAAATAAGATTTTTATTCTCCCCTTCAGTATCCACAATATAAATACCTAGTTATACATAGTTCCCAAATTCTATATTTTTTAATGACTTAATTGAGAAAAGTAAGGACTAGGAGATTATAATGATTTGTATAACACAGAAGATATATTGAAAAGTCTGTTGAGAACAATTTCTGGCATAGGCATTGCCCATATATTTAGGACTCCCCATTCCATGTTCAAAGTTCCTTTTCATAAGGTAACATTTATTTAACAACTAATAAAGCACAAAAGAAACTCCTTTATAAAATACCTTCTGAAACAGAAATCTACCATAGTTATTAAATCTAAATCACCATCAATTGTAACAAATATCTTTGAGTTGTTGTTATAGACCACACCAAAATATGATGTGAAAGCACAACATAAATGTTAAAATTATACAGTGAATCAAGATTTTAGAGATTAGTCACAAAGAAACATATGCAATTTAGAATTAATAAATTATGGTAATATGTAAAGAGAAAGAGGTACAGCAAACCTCTTATTACTTTCCTAGAATCATAGCAAGATAAATGCTATTATAATGGTGAAACTGTTCACTCTATAAGTATATAAAACAAGTTCCAATAGAAGTGGCCAATATTTCATAAATGATTAATGGAACTTTCCATTTATCTGTATCTATCAGGGAGTAGATAAATGGGAATTTGCATGGCTCAACACCTTTTGATGTAATAAATGTTATTAACCAGGAAATTTAAATTATTGTTTTTTTCCCCTGAGACTTAGCTGATTTATTGACTCTACTGATGAAGGAGAAGGGACTGTAGTTTAAAGGAGGAAAATCACTTATCCTAGCAATTTTCCTTAAACTGTGCCCTTTTAGTGATATATGTGACCTAGGTTTCATGACACAGTATCAGAGAGAAGAGAGGATCTTTTCACTCATATCTTCTTTACCAGACTAATACCAGTTTGCCTAGAAATTCAGTGCAACGAATTTCTCTGTTGCTCTA